TAATTTCACTAGCACTGGAAGAGTATAACCATAGTTATAAATTATTTTTTTCAAAATAAGGACTGTTATGACTACTTTTGCATTAATGTTCCTAGTGATAATGGATGGATACAATTAGTACACCTTTTACTGCGTATTGTCCAAACGCCACTGAGTGTGTCCAAGTCAATTCCACATAATGCTCAAAAAGGCAAGAAAATACATGGAGAGTTGGGGGAAAGTGTCATAGATATAAGAGGAGTGGAAGGATGAAACAGCAGACAGCAAGGAACTTGGTTCCAGTAACTAGTCATGTTAAGGGTGCTGAGAGTTGATAGGCGACCTCTATTCCCCTCCCAGTTTTCCCTATTCCCCTACAGTTTTCAAGAGTGGTCCAGACTAGTTCATTCCCAGCATTGCTTTACATCCCAAGGAACTCTGGGAATTGTAGCTCTGGGAATCTCCTAGCAAATCTCGGCACCCTTAACAAGCTACAGTGGTACCTCACATTAAGTACTTAATTCATTCTGGAGGTCCGTTCTTAACCTGAAACTGTTCTTAACCTAAGGCACCACTTTAGCTAATGGGGCCGGCCTCCTGCTGCCGCTGCGCCGCCGGAGCACAATTTCTGTTCTCATCCTGAAGCAAAGTTCTTAACCCCAGGTACTATTTCTGGGTTAACAAAGTCTGTAACCTGAAGCGTATGTAACCTGAAGCATATGTAACCCGAGGTATTACTGCACAGCTCCCAGGATTCTTTGGGTGAAGACTTGACTGTTTAAAGTCACATGATACTGCTTTGTATGGTGTGGATTCAGCTTCAGTACAGTGACTTATCACACGAGAGCTAGTGTGGTGTAGTGGTTAAGAGCGGTAGACTCGTAATCTGGGGAACCGGGTTCGCTTCCTCGCTCCTCCACATGCAGCTGCTGGGTGACCTTGGGCTAGTCACACCTCTTTGAAGTCTCTCAGCCCCACTCACCTCACAGAGTGTTTGTTGTGGGGGAGGAAGGGAAAGGAGAACGTTAGCCGCTTTGAGACTCCTTAAAGGGAGTGAAAGGCAGGATATCAAATCCAAACTACTACTCCTCCACACAGTGAAGCAGCACACAGAGACAAAGTTTCCTTGTTTGGGTCCAAGATATACCTGTTACACTTTACGATGCAATGTGATGCCTGAAGCCGTTCTCACAGTGCTGCAGGGCCCACAAATCGTTGCACGAGGAAAGGTATGGTGTGCCATTTGCACTAGAATTACTGTGTATCCTTAGGGAAAGAGAGGGCAGCATTTCCCCTTTTGAAATGGCATTCGTTTTGGTCAGCGTAGCCGTAGGCAGCTGTTTAATCTGTCCCACTGTCCGCCGCTAGCAGCCTCGTCCCAGAGGCACAGCAGGGCAACTGCAATGTTAGCATCTATTTTTAAAACTCAAACCAATTGCATGCTAGTCTTCGGCAGCGGCTTCCCAGGACCACCGGAGGCAGCTAGTTTATCACCTTTTCTGAAAACTGACCAACGCAGGGCTCTAAATCACTTTTTTCTCTAATAGCGTATGAGAAGATAGCGCACAGATCTGCTACACCGGGTGCAGTAAGTCCGCACCGCTGCTCTGAGCCCCTGCAGTAAAGGTTTATCCCTGTAAAAGACCTTAAATGCCATTCTCTACTTCTCCTTTAAGCGATGCAAGCTCGCAGCTGGTTGCCATGGCAACAATAGGCTGCCCAGGCTGTGCAATGTGCTTCCTCTTAAGAACCAGGAGCAATGCATGAAAGATGCTTAAAATATACAAATAAGATTTAATAATAATCTCCTTAACTAGAACACACCCTTCAAGTGCTGAGTCCTAGTTGAGAAATGGCAGTAGGCTACTAACACTACAGCAATCTGAAACTGAACCAGTTTCAGGGAATCATAGAGTTGGAAGGGATCCCGAGGGTCATCTAGTCCAACCTCCTGCAAGGCAGGAATCTCAGCTAAAGGATCCATGACAGATGGCCATCCAAGCTCTTCTTAAAAACCTCCAAGGAAGGAGAGTCCACCACCTCTCGTGGGAGTCTGTTCCACTGCCAAACAGCTCTTACTGTCAGAAAGTTTTTCTGAATGTTTATTCAGATTCACATTTCTTCTATCTTGAAGCCATTGCCTCGAGTCTTACCCTCCAGAGCAGGAGAAAACAAGCATGCTCCCTCTTCCATGAGACAGCCCTTAAGGTATTTGAAGATGGCTATCATTTCCCCTCTCAGTCTCCTCTTTTCCAGGCTAAACATACCCAGCTCCTTCAAGCGCTCCTCGTAAGGCTTTGTTTCCAAACCCTTGATCATCTTGGTTGCCCTCCTCTGCACACATTCCGGCTTGTCAACATCCTTCTTAAACTGTAGTGCCCAGAATTGGACACAGTATTCCAAGTGTGGTCTGACCAAGCCAGAATAGGGTGGCACTATTACTTCCCTTGATCTGAACACTATGCTTCTGTTGATGCAGCCTAGAGTAGCAATAGCTTTTTTTGCTACTGCATCACACTGTTGACTCATGTTAAGCTTGTGGTCCTGCAAAACCCCTGGGTCCTTTTCACATTTACTGCTACGTCCGGTTTGCTTGGAAGTTTTGGTACAGACCTTGGACTTTCAAAAAAGCCCCTTCACTAACATGCTAGGAGGTTTATGTGTGTGTCTCTATATCTAGACTGAGCCATCTAAGTTGTTGGCCATCACGACAACTTACAGCAGCATATTCCAGAGTTTGACAGAGTGCTGTGTGAAAAGACACTTCCTTTTGTCCCGAACCTTCCACCATTCAGTTCCCTTTATATTATAATTATTTGCAATGGTATCCCATCTTCTCCCTAGAGCACAGTGGTGTTCATAGTTCTCCCCCTCCCTATTTTAGCCCCACAACAACCCTGTGAAGTAGATTAACCCTGAGAGACAGTGAGCGGTCTAAGGTCACCCTGTGAGGGATGACTGGAGATTTGAACCCTGGTTTCCCAGGCCTTCATCTGATACACCACACTGACTTTATTTGATATTCCAAGTTCTAGTATGTCTTGTTGGTATCTTTCAGTGCTAAAACAAAGAGAACATTCCAAATGAGAGAAAAACATACAGAATGAACCTAACTCTGCATTCTCCCTCCCTCCTTATTCTAATGGAGAAGGTAGCCTTGCACAACCTCACAGACTGCAGATATTTCAATACTGTATCTAGCTGATGGCGCTAATTCAATTACAAGCCAGCAGATGATGCTCAAGTCAAAAGCAGGAGCTATTTAACATTGTCCTCTCACCTGATGTGCCTGTAAGCAGCTGAGTCATACAATCATTATGGCCAAAGACATCATTCACCCACAGTGAGTCAGCCAAAATCCCCTTTTCTTCTTCTTTTTAAAGAAATATTCCCCTAGTGCAACTCGATAAGAGGAGAAGAACCACACGGCAGACAACAAAAGAGGAAGAGATTTGTTGCTGTCAAGAGATTTGTTGCTGTCTGTACTAATCGGCCACCTAGATGAAACCACCCAAAATAAAAGCAGAATGTCGGAGAGAAATTCAGGATCACAAGCTGACATGTCTCTTGGTAGTCTCAAAGCTCCCTGGTTGCACATGGGCTCGAGAAAGCAGCCTGTGGCCAAGAAAGGTTTATGTTAAGAGTGGCTATTTCAGAGCAACCATCTCTGGTTGGCTGGCCTGAAACACTGCAGTGGTTTAGAATGTTGGACTGGGGTCCTGCAAGGTCCACATTTAAATCCTAACTCAACTATGAAGCTTGTCAAGTGACCTTGAGTCACTATCTCTTGCCCTCCCAGGGGCGTTGTGAAAATAAGAAGAGGAAAAGCTGGGAAATAATTGTTACAGATCAACAAACAACATAAATGTGTGTTGCAGAAAGAAGCAATGCTCAAATTATAGGAGGAAAAGTGGGGGTGGGTGGTTTCCTAGTGAAATCCACAAACCCCATGCATTGAATTCAGGGCCATTGAGTGCTTGCGTGAAATCACATGAAATTTCAACACTCTGTTCTGCCCCCATCCCGCCCTTTTAGTGACGTCTTTTATGACGTTTCTGGGTTGCTTCAGGGTTTGGCACATGTGCACATATCAGTCATGCCTGAAAGGGAAGTTGCCTGCATACATTGTGAAAAATGATTGTGTGGTGTGGACAGTTAAAATCCTTCTTTCTCCTCAGTTGATAGATGAGCAAGAAGGAAAGGCAGGCTGGCCGGCTGGCCAGGCATCGTAGCTATGCTTCAGAATATTTGATCTGTCATCTAGCCCCATTTGCTCGCCTCCAATTTCAGGTCTTTTCAAGAAACCACCAGGACCCAGCACTAAGCAGATGGGAAATAATATTTTTCCTATAATCCCACTGCTCCATTTTTATATTCCTTTCCAGTTAATTAAGTTTTCTTGATAAGATAGATAAAATTAGAATGGAAAACACCAGCCGGTGGACCAGTGGGTGGGTGTGGGTGGGCGAGAACAGGCCCAGGGAGGTAAAATGGCTGCCCCAAGGTCACAGAATGACGCCAGGATAGAGAACTGGGAACAGGCAGCCCATCTGATTCCCCATCTATGTGCTAATTAATGTCTAATCTTCCATCTGTAAACACTGCCAAACACTTTAAGAGATTATATAGCAGGAGGTGCCCTTGGTTGCATTGTGTGAACAAACAGACTTGGGCTCTTCCTTCCTTTTCACAGCAACCTAAATGTTTGATGGCTAAGGTCTCAAGAACTAGCTTGACTTGTTTATTTGAAACCAGCCAAACATAGCCAAGAGAGGAAATGGTAAACCAACAAGAGGGGTATTTGCATTTATCATCAAACTTATCAAGACTAAGCTTGCCTTAAACCAGGAGCAGGAATTTGAGGCCAAGGGGCCAGATATGTCCCTCCAGATCTCCCTAAGTGGCTGTTTTGACTCTCTCCAGGCTACACCCCTCTCCACTCTGGGAGAGTTGCTGCAAACATAACCCCTGATCCAGTCCTTGTGCCAAGTAGAAATGAATTTGCTCTCCACCGCAAGAATGAGTTCCAAAGCTTTATTGCAGAATGGTCTTAAAATAGTTACAAGTAAACATTGCAGAATACAAAGTAACACATGGCTCTTAAACAGAAAGCAATGCGGCCTTCTCGTCTTTAAGTCCTTTATGAAGTTCAATAACTTTCCTCTCTCTGGTCCCAGAGAGAGATCCTATACAAGCAAGTTGCTTATATCCACATTGCTGAGCTTGGACTTGGATGCTGAGTTCTCAGGTTTCATATTCTGCTGACAGAGAGATTGCAGCTCAGGGTTCTGGGATGAGTCATCAATTAAACTGAATGGAAACTTCCACCTTTACTTTGCTGCATTTATATATTTACATTAAACTCATATCTTTAACACAGTCTTGGTCTGTGTCTCCTCAAGTGCTCTTGCCTGGCTGGAATGTTGTGTTGTTGTTTTCAATTGAAGCTTGCATGAGTGCAAATCCAACCTTTGTAACAAGTATTAGAATGAAAGTCCAACACGTGTTTTGTCTTATGCCCAAGAATGGCATGCATAAAATATTTGATCGATCACCCAACAAATCTCTCCAGTGATTGCTGTGTGACTGGGGTTCTCCCTTTGTACAAAGGTGCCAGACTGCATAGAAAGTGTTACATATCTTAGCTGCTCTAATCTGACAAGTGAGTTTCTCAGCTAATGCAACTGACCACACACGATTGTGCCAGGTATCAATCAATAGTCCTTGATGCATGCGCCACTGGAATGTGATAATGAATGACAATAATGCCTCTTGCTTGCTTGGATGGGTGGATGGAAGATGAAGTGATTATAAAGGAAGAAGAAGCAGGGAGTATAGAAGCCTCTGACTTCTGATTGGCTTGAATGTAGTCATATGGAACACCCTCCCCTCTCCTTCCCCCTATATACTGTTATTGGGGCTCTCCCAACCGCCAGAGCCAATGGTGTTAGAAGGGGGAAAGCCCTGTTATGGCTCATTGTGCAGATTTCTGCTAGTCCTAAGTAAGTAACAGAGACTACCTGCCCCGTACAGACACTTAGATCATTTGGGGGTCTTCCAACCATGGCACTACTGAACCCTACAGAATATCGTAGGGTGGTGACCCGAAAATAGGCATTTTCTGTTGGCATGCAGAGGGTCGGAAGGCCAGCTGGCTAGCCCCAGCTGGGCCGTCTCCTTCCAGTCTTCCCACTTCAGTCTGCTCTGATGTAAATCAGCGACCCGGGCTTCAAAGCCAGGGCACACTATCAGCAGAGCGAACTGCGCACACAGAATAGGTGTGAGGCTTGTGGAAGCATACTACAACTACAGATTTATTAATCATAAATCAGGACAAAGAAACATGTTGTCTCTCTCTCTCCCCGTCTCAGACTCAGAACTGTTCTCTCTTCTCAGAACAGGGAAAAGCAAAAGCTATACACAACGGAAGTTCCCAGCAAGCTGTGCTGGAATGTAAACAGACATGTGACGTGTAACAATCCCATGTCTGTTCCTTAAGGTGGAACAGAAATCTCAACATCTTCTGCTGTTGCCCCTGTACTAGAACCAGATGCCTTGAGTTCTGCTCACAAAAAGGAGAGAAGAGGTGATTTTTGGTGATTCCGCCCCCTCCCCCTTTCTCCCTGCAGCCCCTTAGTACTCTTGAAAATTCTCTCCAGAGGTTTGAAGGACCCTTCAGAACAGTGGCAGTGGTTGGCACAGAATCATAGCAAGCTGTGAGAAGAATGGGTGAAAATCGTCCTTCCACTGCCCTTTTCCATGAGACTCCACTGGATGTAAGCTCCATGCGCAGACGGAAAGAACCCTTCTGGTTACAGAAGGGTGGTGTGCTAGATCCAAGCCATACCTGTGAAGGCACTCATCTCCCCCCCCCACACAGGGCAAAGAATCAGAGCAGAAAACATCACTAAGTTCAGCAAGAGCTGGGGTGTTCTTGTATGCTACTTGTATCCTCTGCCCACTTGTGGGGGGGAAAAGCTGAGAAGTAACACTTTGAGGAACACCCCAACTTTTGCTGAGTTCCACAAGAGTTGGGATGTCATGGCTTCAGAAGTGGGGTGCAGAAGTAGGCAGCAATTCTCATTTTTCCTCAGGTGGCGAAACAGGCCGGGCCGCCCTGTCCCTGTGAGAGGGGAACGAATCTGGTCCACAAGGAATCATTTATGAATGTTTAAATAATGTTTTTGGGGGAGACCCTACTTTTTTATTCCCTCCTTTGTGAGAATTGTCCATTTATTCCTCCTCTCTGTTTCCTGTTCTCTTAACAGTCACAGAACCAAAGGCGGGACAGTCCTTTTATCCTATTACTGCAAAGTTATCTCAGGAACGTTCGGTGAGGGAGTTCAAATATACCCCTACTGCTGGATCACCCCTCTCCACATGCCTGTTTAGGAAACTGGCCTCAGAAATTCATATTTGAAATAGTTTGATTCTTCTCCAATCCTTGGGGACTTTGCAAGCAAATCAACTCCATCTACAGATTATTGGCAAAACCCTTAAAAGGCTATCTGTTTAGACAGTCACACATCTGCAGTTTTAAAACAACGCAGCAGGAAACACTTGGTTGTGTGAAAATTGGGCCATACATCTCTCTGTCTCTCTTTCTCTCGCCAGTGGTCCGTTTTCAAAATGCAGACCTACAGAGTCCGACCATGCATATCAATATTCCCCGCTCTGATCTGAGGAAGTGAAGGAGATTTCCCTTTAGGGAATGTTCTGTACACAAAGGCAAAGTTCTGGATGCGAGGAGGCAGAGTCTCTCTTTCCCCCTCCGGCCTTGTTGAAATGCCTGACACGAACAGGCAGGCCTGATTAGAATCTATATATTCTGTCCCTTTAGGAATAGATAAGACAGATAAAGATAGCCATGGAAGAAATTGCTTCCAGGGGCAATTTATGTGCTTATTCCTTATCCACACCCCCTCCCTGTGTAAGCGCATAAAACACTTTGGCTAGGAAAGAGACAAACCGCTGGCTTCTGGAACCACTGGGCATATTGTTCACACGGGCGATAGTTTTGTTTTTCTTAAAAGTATTGGCATTTGGGAACTTTGCAAACCAAACTCTGTAAAAGTACTTTCAGCAACAACAAAGAAGTCCACACCCCATTAACAGCGTCCAACCAGTTCATTCTACAAACTGGAGCCTGGATAGAGAGAGGTAATTAAAAACACGTGCCTGGCTGGTTCATGAGGTCCAAACCCCTCTTTCTTCTTTCTCAGTGAGTGTATGATCCTTACTGAGGAGGATTGCAGGGGAGGAAAGGTTCCCTAATAGTTAAAGTATTCACTTCAACAAGGAAGTTTGCTGTAAGATTCCTAAGGCGATGTCTTTTACATGTGTGGTGTAAAAAGCAACAAACTTTAAAAGAGAAAATGCAACACACCATACCCATTTACCATACAAAACATGGTAAATACCCAGGTACAATACTACAAGTAGGATATAGGGAAAACCATCAATTACGCTGCTTCAAAAGAATGAATTGACTTTGCCTCCTCTTGCCAAGGTTCACGTGCTGCAGCAATATTAGATTATCTTTTCTGACTGATATTATTTCTGCCACATAAAAACAATAGGGTTGTAGCCAGAAGTTCTACTCAGAGTAAACTATTGAAATTAACGTGCCGAAATTAGTTGCAAGTCTATTTATTTCAATGGGTCTAATCTGAGTAGGATTAATGTTGAATTTTGCCCATATCCTCTGGTTAAAATTCATAGTTTATTATCAGAAATCTTTGGTGTTTGTAAGATATCTGTTGATCAAGATGACAAGAGCGGCTTAGAATGAAATATGTAGTACACAGAAAACTGCTGCATATCTAATTTTTCAAACTCTGAAAAGGCTTCCTTACATGAAGGCAATTCTAGCAAGAGTATCAGATTTTTTTAAAAAAAGTTAAGTGTGTGGCAACTAAATCATGCAGCCCAATGCAGTTTGGTGGTATTGCCTTTATTCACCAACCACAACCAGGGAGGGGAGAGGAATTTGTTTGCTTCACATTATAATTTGAAAATCTACCTAATTCACACTTCTGTGCTCATTTCAGTAGTGCATATACTAAAACTGAAATGAAACAGAGAAGATTCACACTTCCTGCACCAAAATATTGAAGGGCAGCTCAGTTGGTGCTGATAACTCCCAAGGTCACAGGTTTGATCCACAAAAGGGACAGCTGCAAATTCCTGTATTTCAGGGGGTTGATCCTCAGGGTCCCATTCAACTTTATGATTCTATGATTCAATACAGTGGTACCTCAGTTTAAGAACAATACGGTTTTAAGAGTTTGGCTTACAAACTCCGCAAAACTGGAAATAGTGTCTTGGTTTGAGAACTTTACCTTGGTCTAAGAACGGAATCCGAATGGTGGAAGGCCTCCTTAGGGAAGGAGCGCCTCAATTTAAGAATGGATTCAGTTTAACAACGGACTTCTGGAACGGATTAAGTTTGTAAACCGAGGTACCACTGTACATGGATTGAAACACAGCTCTTCCTTCAAAATTCGCACTTATCTGAATTTTGCTATGCAGTTTTCCACCCCAACACACCAAGTGCATGGCCTATATTAGAAAACTTGCACTAAAATGCATTAGTAAAAACTGATCTGTTAGCTCCCTTAGAACGTACAAAAATGCACTCTGTTAGGGGAAATGGCTTTTCAAAATGTGTACAGTGGTACCTAGGGTTACATATGCTTCAGGTTACAGACTCCACTAACCCAGAAATAGTACCTCGGGTTAAGAACTTTGCTTCAGGATGAGAACAGAAATCGTGTGGCGGCAGCAGGAGGCCCTATTAGCTAAAGTGGTGCTTCAGGTTAAGAACAGTTTCAGGTTAAGAACGGACCTCCGGAACAAATTACTGTAAGTGCTTAGCCTGAGGTACCACTGTATTATGCACAGGAAAATGCATATGGCTTTCCATGCAGTCTTTAAAATAGATAAATGAACCGCAGATTGATGAGGAAATGGGATGAATGGAAGGTGTGACAGAGGAGAGAAACCAAAAAGGTCGGATTCGCTCGTCCCTAACTCCAACTAGCTGCTATAGTCGCAGCAAAAGTTCATGTAGTCAACAATAGTTATAAACTGTATCCATGAAAGGGTGGACTTTTTGGCGATGCCACTGGAGTTCTTTTATCTGCTTGCCAGAAAATGTTGCAGGATCTTTTAGAGTTTGCCTTGGCAACCAAAGTGAAAGGTTAAATTCAGTGCTCTCAGTACAGGGCAGGAATCCCACTCAGCTGCGCCTAGCAAAATGTCTGCCTTCTCTTAGAAACAGATATGGCAAATGTTAAGGAATGTTAAGGAACTGACACTTGGCTTGAAGAAGTGCCGTATGTTCAGATCCTTCACACTGGGCCTGCTTTGAGTGGATCAGGATGTTTCTTTGAGGCTGTTTTCACAAATGATGCTTACTATGATTCCCACCCCCCCCCCAGTTATTTCAACTGAAAAGGTAATTTTTTAAAAATAAAATAAAATTAGATTCATTAGATAACTGAGACATTGTTTGTGAAGCGCTTTGAACACTTTAAATCTGCATCATCATAATTACTCAGGAGAGCCACTTCATTAATTATGCCACCAAAAAAGAGGACCAAAAAAAAGGACACAGAATAAATTTGCATATGTTAATTTATAGGCATAGCTGCAAATGTAGAAATAATTACAATACTTCAAATTGAAAAAGAATATGTGTCACCTGGTGTGGAAGACTGCAACAGGTTACCTGTGTACCTGCTCAGTCTGCTCTCCAGGTGTTGGCAGGCAATGCCAGGGACCCTGTTTCGCCTTCTTTATCTTTGAAGCAGACTTGGACTTCAGACAGACAATGCCTTCAAAGAGATTGTCTTCTGTAAAGCAGGATACCAAAATGGCTATTGTTTGTTATTGTCATTATCATCAGCTTTCTATCCAACACTCTTAGCTGATCAATTCTAGACTGCAAAATGTGTTTATTGTTACCTATGGAAACATCCAAAGTCATTTGAATTTTTCTTTCCAAGATTAATCAATTGTAAGACTTGACTGTGTTTTTTTTAAAAAAATATTTCTATTCTATTCTGTTCTGTTCTGTTATATATTACTAGTGTCCGTTTAGGGCAGTGGTGAGGAACCTTCAGCCCACAAACATAACCCGGCCCTCCATGTCCCTCAGTTCAGCCCTGCCACTCCTGCCTGGTGGACTCCACCCACCTGCCAATCATCAAACATCAAACACTGTATTGCTCGTTTCATCTTTTTGTGGTTTTTAAAATTAGTCACCTCACTGTATCTAACGATGGATCAAACAGTGCATCTGCTGTCTTCTACTGCCAGAGTAGGGACTCTTATTTCAGCTCAAGCACTGGATTCAAACTTGGGCATCCTCCAAAGGTCAGTGGAGCAAAAGCGAGTGGGCAAAAGCAACTCTCATCATCCCTGACCATTGGCCATGCTGACTAAGGCTGACCGGACCTGTAGTCCAAGACACCTGGAGGGCACCATGTCAGCTTCCCCTGTCCTAGACGATTAGCTTCAATCTCAGTTTTTAAATGCATACTCCTCCTGTATTATATTGCCCCCACTCCTGCATTATCTCGCTATACAGATGGGAGAACCAAAGCTGAAAGAAAACCCAGTACAGGGAGTCTGTGTGAGATCCGAAATGGAAACCCAGGCTTTCCAAAGGCAAATGTTAATTTTGTAGCTATATATACAGCCTAACAAGGTGCATGTTCCTCATTCGGCAGAGACATTGGACTTGGCACTAGTGTGGAAGCAGTTGGAGAAGAGTGTCATGTATTTCCCCACATCTTTCCATGCCAAGATAACGTTGTATAAACATCATTTCTTTCAGCTAGAACTCTGATTATCTGAGCATTTGGTACCCCCCTAGGTTACTTGGATAAAATAGGTTGTATTTATTGCATTGCTTAAGGTCCTTTGGAAAGTGCCGATTTTTTTTGTCAGTGCTGAGTGCCTTGGGAGCACCTGAGAGAAACTTAGCTTCTGTTTTCTCCCACTTCAATTGATCACCACCACAACCTAAAACATTATGGTGACCTTCTGAAGAGGATAAAATAAAGGCTGTTGTCCTGGCAGAGTTCCTCGTTTTCTGTTTTGGTTAAGAAGGAAATAATTTTTATTTACGGCTATTGACTAAACGCTGTGCTTCATTGTTGACTTTCATTCTTCACAAAGAACTAAAGCTCAAGATTAGCAATAACTTAGCCTACTCCTACTGTAGCCTGCAAAGCTGGAGGCAATTATCCCAATGAGAACCCATCAATTTCCTCACCAGCCTTTCTCCTTCCTCTTCTTCTTCTTCTTCCAGAAATGTTAGTCATTGTTAGACAGATAAAGTCTTCCAAAGATATTTAACAGGCATACTGCCCTGGGTTTCCTGACATCTTCTCTTTTGCTTTAGCTCAGCCATTGCCAACTCTGTACAAAGCGATACCCCACTAGCATAACAGCAACAACCCTGGCGTCTTCACAACAACACAGATCCTCCATTGTCTATCCCAGCCTTTCCCAAACTGGTGTCCTCCAGATGTTTTGGACTACAACTGCCATCAGCCCCTGCCAGCATGTGCTGGCTGGACCTTTGGGAATTACAGCCCAAAATAGCTGGTTGGCAAAGTCTACTTTAAGATGTTCACTATCAGACTACATGTTGCAAGTGTTTCAGCTTTTTGTTGATTGGGGCATTAAAACTGTTGGCTTCCCCAAACCTCACGCCTTCTTCTCCTTCCCCAGTGATAAGATTGGGCTGAACCTTCTGGAACACATAATTTATTGAGTCATTTCACAGGTCACCTCACATTAAGAGCCGAGGCTGCGATTGTAAATCAGAGGAAACCTCCGCCATAAAAATAAAATGAAGCGAGGCATGTTCGTTTGCTTCTGGCATCGGAAGAGAAAGGAAAAGATTCCATTCCATTCCAAATAGCCTTTGGTTCTTACGGGGTGAAATACCTGTTCTTGGGAAATGCGCCTGTGTCTGTGATAACTCCCTGGAAGGACAGAAGGGGCGAAGTCAGCAAATTTAGTTTCTTCAGTCACCATAGCACTAAGAAGGAGCGTCTCCACCTCCATCGTTCTGCCCGGACACTGAGGTCCAGCGCCGAGGGCCTTCTGGCGGTTCCTTCACTGTGAGAAGCCAAGTTACAGGGAACCAGGCAGAGGGCCTTCTCAGTAGTGGCACCCGCCCTGTGGAACACCCTCCCACCAGATGTCAAAGAGAAAAATAACTACCAGACTTTTAGAAGACATCTGAAGGCAGCCCTGTTTAGGGAAGCTTTTAACATTTAATATGTTATTGTATTTTAGTGTTTTGTTGGAAGCCGCCCAGAGTGGCTGGGGAGGCCCAGCCAGATGGATGGGGGTATAAATAATAAATTGTTGTTGTTGTTGTTGTTATTATAAGAGGATGATGAGGAAAATGTGCGGAGGAGGGTGACCATGATGATCAAGCATCTGGAAACCAAGCCTGGTGAGGAATGGTTGAGGGATTTGGGTATGTTCAGCCTAAATAAGAAGAGGAGAGCAGATATGATAGCTATCTTCAAATACCTAAAGGTTTTGGGTCTATGGACCGCAAGAGCAAGCTTGTTTTCTCCTGCTCCGGAGAGCAGGAATTGAACCAATGGATTCAAGTTACAAGAAAAGGGTGTCCAACTAAACATCAGGAAGAGCTTTCTGAGGTTAAGAGCTGTTTGACAGTGGAACAGACTCCCTCAGGAAGTGGTGGGTTCTCTTTTGTTTGAGGTTTTTAAGCAGAGGTTGGATGGCCAACTGTGATTCTCGCATTTCAGGGGGTTGGACTAGATGAACCTCGGGTCTCTTCCAGTTCTACAATTTGGTCATTCTGTAAGTATAGGGCAAGCGTGTGCTGCTGCTTAATCAAGGGTTCCAGATATTTTTTGTGTGAGCCTAGAGCCAACATTAACTTCCCTGAAGAGCAGGTATTCGGGTGTTTAATCCAAGCCAACCATTTCATATGAATAAGATCAGTAGAACGACAGCAGGAAGGGCTGCAGTTCCAAATGGTGTGCAGGATCAGGATCAGGCCCTCTCTCCTGCAGTCATTTCCCTCTCATCGGGTAGGTTTAATGTCGAAAAGGAAAGAGGCCCAAATAAATCAAGGAAGAAACCAGGGATTTGTTTGGTGGCGGGGAGAAAGGGAGAGAGAAATGAAATACTGGGAGTTGTTCCATTTAAAATAGATTTGAAGAATGTGTTGGGGGCAGGCCAGGGGGGAGAGAAAATCTGTACATAGATCAAATCTTAATTAAAGATCTGGCATCAAATCTGGCAATATATATATATATATATATATATATATATATATATATATATGGAGACCAAGGAAGAAAAGACGAATAACCCATCCTTTAGCCAAAAATAAGCTGTAGATGATTCAGAATGGCCCACTGCTTTCTGCAAGTCAGGCACTGATAAACGAAGTATCTTGGGGGAAAGTGTTGAAGGCCCATTCAGGAGACGAGATTTCTTAACACTGTGCTTGGCTCTTAAGACTGAATACATGGTGCCAGCAGGAATCAAATTAGCCAGAGACTAATGAATGCAAACAAACCATTTTTCGATAGTCTGTCCCACTAAACTGTGATGTAGTAGCGTGATGGCAAATAGTGTTTGAATCACAGGGAGGAAGTTCTGGAGAAATAAGGAAATCTACAAGCACCATGAGGGGACGCGGGTGGCGCTGTGGGTAAAACCTCAGCACCTAGGACTTGCCGATCGCATGGTCGGCGGTTCAAATCCCCACGGCGGGGTGAGCTCCCGTCGTTCGGTCCCAGCTCCTGCCCACCTAGCAATTCGAAAGCACCCCTAAGTGCAAGTAGATAAATAGGTACCGCTTTCTAGCGGGAAGGTAAACGGCGTTTCCGTGTGCTGCTCTGGTGCCGGTTCGCCGGAGCAGCTTTGTCACGCTGGCCACGTGACCCGGAAGTGTCTGCGGACAGCGCTGGCTCCCGGCCTCTAGAGTGAGATGAGCGCACAACCCTAGAGTCTGTCAAGACTGGCTCGTATGGGCAGGGGTACCTATACCTTTACCTTTTTACAAGCACCATCCTTATAACCTTATAAGACCAGGAGCCGTTTCCATATACAGTGGTACCTCCGGTTACGTACTTAATTCATTCCGGAGGTCCGTTTTTAACCTGAAACTGTTCTTAACCTGAAGCACCACTTTAGTTAATGTGGCCTCCCGCTGCTGCTGCTGCGCCGCCGCCGCACGATTTCTGTTCTCATCCTGAAGCAAAGTTCTTAACCCAAGGTACTATTTCTGGGTTAGCGGAGTCTGTAACCTGAAGCGTATGTAACCTGAAGCATATGTAACCCGAGGTACCACTGCATGCCATTGACCAACAGAATCAGTCAGTTGGTCCATACAAGCATTCTTGTATTACAGGTTCTTAATTCTATTATAAATATCATCATCATTGATTTATCATCACCTTTTAAACCAGTGTCTCAAGGCGATTTACACATAATGTAATTAAAAGCAGTTAAAAAAAATTAAAGGACCCATTTATCCAGCTGGGAAAGCCCGTGGGCACAAAACACGTCTTCAATTGTTTCTGGAAAGTGCTGATCATGGGCTCTTGTGATATCTCAACAGGAATGCTCTTCCGCAGAACAGGGGCAGCCACACTGAAAGTCCTGCTCAGAGTTACTATGCAGCAAGCTATTTGGAACTTGCAGGAAAAAATCTCTCCCCCAGGCCACAGTGGGAGTATATGGGATAATGCAGTATCTCAAGTAAACTGGTCCTGAGCCGTATGCCAAATGCCAGGAACACAATTCTGGGACTTTGCATCTCCTGACGCTCTTAACAGCTCATGTAGGACTCTACTAACAGGAACAATACTGGAGAAGGAGGCAGGTGAGGACACACAACTACCTTGGAGGAGGCTGGCCCCCTCAAATATTTTACTAGGGGGGCGAAGAGAGCTCAGCCCCTAGGCGTTGGCTCCTATGGTGTGTCAGGCAAAGGATCTGCCCTCTTTCTCAGCCGCCATCTTCTCAGGTGGCTGCCTGTCCTTTAACATGACTGGCTCAACTAGAGACTCCTGTGCTCTTCCGTGCAACGTGTGTTGCTAAGGGCTGATTTTGCACATCACAGAGGTGCTGCCTCTGGCAGGCCTGGTCTTAAGTACCTGAAGGAAAAGCAGAGGCTGGTCAGCAGCTGGCAGCCACACAAGCAGAGGGCAACACATAGCAGCTCCACACAGCCTCCACCCACCTCCCAGAAGCTAGGCTTAACCAGTGCTTTTTTCCCCTTAAAAAATGTTTAGGGGTACTTTCATTTTCCTACTCATACTGAAATACTGCCCCTCAATGAGGCCAAACTTAGATTCAAAAAGCGAGAATTGCAGCTTGTCCACTATACTCCAGATTATGGAATTTCCAGAGCTTCATGTTTGCAGACATTGTTGTCGTTTAGACGTTTAGTCGTGTCCGACTCGTCGGGCCCCATGGACCAGAGCACGCCAGGCACTCCTATCTTCCACTGCCAACATGGTCAAACTCATGTTGGTAGCTTCGAGAACACATGCAGACATTAACTATTTACAAATACAGGACAGCATTTATGCTCATTCGTTCTGCCTTCTGACTCGTTAACTAGCTGGTTTAATAAGATTCTGCCTTTGTCACTGTGGAATTGGGAAAACAGATTCTGTGGGCCATGTTTTTTAATCTTGTAATTGGTATAAGAAGCCCGGAGAAAGGCTGATGGTTCTTTTATTAAGAATTCTCCCCGGAAGACCCACTGGAATTCTGGTTTCTGTTTAAGTGATGATTCTTATTACGTTACTGAACAGGTACCTAATTTTTCCCCCTACCCCCAGTACAAATTAGGAAGCAGATGGTAAAGTAAATTTTCCTCTGGCTCCCTTGTGAATCTTATTTCCGTATTATGTTAATTATCCTGTGTGCCTCAGTTTTTATTGGTCTGTGACATCTATCATCTGTCTATCTATCCATTCATCCCAGCAGGGAAACTGGATTGGAAGAATTCCATACACATCCCTGCTGATAAAACTCCTTTTTTTGTGGGGTGGAGCAAGGAGACAATATTACTATTTAGCAGCAAAGCGAATAGGGGGGGTCATGACTGAAGAAAATATATTTTTATTCTCTCTTTTAATTTCTCTGCAGAGCAGCTGCTCGTATGGACACATCAACTGCCTGCTAATGAGAGATCTGTAGCTGAAGCCAACATTTATGTCATTCAAGATTACTACTATAAGCCGCCAACTAGAAAGATAGAACTGTATAATATTTTCTGCAGAGTAGACTTGTTGTGGAATCCTAGCTGAACGATAATGCTGGACGATAGCTCTGAATGGTCCTATAATATACGGCCTCACTGTTTCTAAAAGAAAGATGTTGAACTTTTTTTAGCTTTGGAAGAGTACTTTTCTAATTAAACTGTGAAGCACAGCCTATCTATAATGCACACAACTCACATACTTGTGGAGGCCTCCAACACTTACATACATGAGAATGTACATTCTCTCTCAGTCACATGCACACGTGTGCTTACATATACAAAGGGACGCAGGTGTCACTGCGGTTTAAACCACTGAGCCTCTTGGGCTTGCTGATGGGAAGGTCGGCAGTCTGAATCCCCGCGAGGGAGTGAGCTCCTATTGCTCTGTCCCAGCTCCTGCCAACCTAGTAGTTTGAAAGCACACCAGTGTAAGTAGATAAATAGGTACCACTGTGGCAGGAAGGTAAATGGCATTTCCGTGCGCTCTGGTTTCTGTCACGGTGTTCCGTTGCACCAGAAGCGGTTTAGTCCTGCTGGCCACATGACCCGGAAAGCTGTCTGTGGACAAATGCCCCCTCAGCCTGAAAAGCGAGATGAGCGCCGCAAACCCATAGTCGCTTTTACATATACATCTTAAGAATTGCCTTGGACAGCATCTTAAAAAGTAGAGACATCACCTTGCCAACAAAGGTCCGTATAGTAAAAGCTATGGTTTTCGCAGTAGTGATGTATAGAAGTGAGAGCTGGACCATAAAAAAGGCTGATCGCCGAATAATTGATGCTTTTGAATTATGGTGCTGGAGGAGACTCTTGAGAGTCCCATGGACTGCAAGAAGATCAAACCTATCCATTCTGAAGGAAATCAGCCCTGAGTGCTCACTGGAAGGACAGATCCTGAAGCTGAGGCTCCAATACTTTGGCCACCTCATGAGAAGAGAAGACTCTCTGGAAAAGACCCTGATGTTGGGAAAGATTGAGGGCAAAAGGAGAAGGGGACGACAGAGGACAAGATGGTTGGATAGTGTTCTCAAAGCTACCAGCATGAGTTTGACTAAACTGCGGGAGGCAGTGGAAGACAGAAGTGCGTGGCGTGCTCTGGTCCAAGGGGTCACGAAGAGTCGGACACGACTAAATGACTGAACAACAAAGTGGTAACATACAGCTCAGTTCAAGTGTACCTATTTCCTTTGTTCCTTTTCCTGGCTGCAAGAACAATATATATTTAACAACAAAGCTATTCCTGCCATTGGGGTGCATTACACGCTTCATGCTTGTAAGGGGAAGGCTTTACCAGTTGAATGACTACCTGTGCCATAGAGCTAAGAGCAACAAAAGAGACAGCAATTGTCCCTAAGCCCCTTTAACGTGCAAATCACAAAGCTCCCCCTGGTGACCCATTTACTGAGCATTAATCCTGATTTGCTTCCACAAAGCTGATTCAGAGTTAAAGCTATAGCTGTGCACACATTACTGCCCTGAAACGCAGCTAGGCTGTCGTTTTCCCAAATTTGGGTTGAAGGTGGTTTGTGGAGAAATACATCATAATGCAGTTGCAGTTCGCATCCGTCTGTCTCAGGAGACCATGGAGGAGTGCACCTTTGTGGGTGAAGTCAAACTGTTGGAAGGTTGCAGTGCCTGAAGTAGCTGCAGAGACCAATGTGGGAGAGACATGTTTTGTTGCAGGTGGGCAGATGAAGGCATCCAGTTGCGCTGCTGCAGATGGACCGTGGCGATCCTTCTCTCTGGGCTCTTCCCAGCAGTCATTCCTCCTCTGGTCACTGTGGATACATGACCTGTCTGTCTCCAGGCACTGCTGTTGCCTGCAAAATATTCCCACATGGTGGGGTTGATGTTGCCAGCCTTCATGTCTCGTTTGCAGACATCTTTGTAACACAGAATTGGTCTGCCAAGAAACAACAGGATAGATGCTGGAGTTGTAGGGAAGCAGAAAGTTGGAGTATTAAAGCAGTGTTGCTTCTATCTTAGATATTTTTTGCAGCTCACTTAACCTAAGATTAACTCGGTATAATTAGAAATGTTTGCCATTGGTTGCAGCTGCAAAGGCCATGAGGAATGGAGTCGGCGTATAGGTAAATCATTTCCATAGAGTAAGTTGCCATAACTTACATTTCTCTCTGCAAAATCTGTTTTAGAATATCTAACTTTAACTCTGCTGCAAGATGTATCACTTAGCAACAGGTATTGGCTCAGCAATGGCAAACTCCTGTTAGTGCAATATTTCTTCCAGCTAGTATTTTAGTCTTGGAGAACAATACAGCATTTTTACTGTGTTTTGTGCCTGCTCTCTGGAGAAGGGTGAAGAAGGTTCACATATATATCACAGCGTGTGTGTTTGTTTGGAACATAACTCAGAATAGCGACAGATTACAAAGTGAGGGAGATCGTTTTGGATAACATTCCTGCCTCGGTACGCTTTGCTATCCCTCTATGCTTGTGCCATATGCAAATGTAGCAGTACAGTTTGCAATCTCTTAGGACCCATGTTCACTGTCCGTGTAAGAAAACAATTGTACTGATCTCCCATTAGGCCAGGTGTGAATTTGACTCAGCGTAAACTCAAGTGATAATTTGTATTTTTTAAAATGCAGATATTCCAGGGTGAATAACTATAATCTGCACGCAGGGTTTACTCAGAAGCCCATGGTTCTTAATCCCAGCTAAGTATCATGGGCTACAGTTATTCAGAGGTGATGAAAATATATTCTGCTTAGACACAAAGACACTCTTTTCTTTATTACAACATCAAAAATCCTAGATCTAAACATTAGCACAAAACTATGTTCCAGACAGGCTTTATATTAAGCATCTATCATGATCTATTTGCACAGAGGTTATACTCTGTGGGCTGTTTATTGGGCATTTATTCTGATTTGTTTGCACATGTGTCACTATTCCAAATTCACCTTAATTCCAAGTACATTTTATTTGTGCAACCTAAATTTGCTGGCATACAATCATACCTGCAAAACAGTGACAACCTGGAAATGGCCCAGGAAGTCACATCCAAGGTCTTAGCTTCACCAAGTCCTGGCTCCAGCAATGAAAATTTGCATCCTATTATGTGACTGAGATACAAACCACTCAGGTGTGCATGGTTGGGCAGGCTGTCTCCTAATGGGATACCCATGGGCAAATCAGCAGTTAACCAACATCCCTTTCTAGTATAGGAGTGGTGGACATGTTAAGAGGAAGCAGTCAGAGAGGTACAATACCTAGATGTTAAGCACCAGTTATTTGGTGAAGGCCAAGCCAGATGTAATGTAAACACACAGCTGTCCACAGAAAATGGCCACCTCATGTCTAGTCCTCCATAATGACTAGCAGAACTTACCTTACGTGTGATAAGTCAAGCTGATACTGTTCTCCGTTTCCTTGCAGCCATTGGCAGCCAATGGAAAAGACTGGAAATTGTGACGTCACCACACAAAGTAAATTGGACTAAATGTTTCTTCTTCTTATAACAGTTGTTGCCTGATTCTTTGTTAAGCAGGGGAAGAAGGGAGAAGCCAGACTGCTTCATAGCTGGACTTGCTGA